TTTTTTTTTTTTTTTTTTTGTATTTTAGTACCAGGTCTACAGGGTCTATAGGGTCTCACTATGTAGATTGGACTCTTAGTGATACTCCTGTTTTCAGCTTCCCAAGCGCTGGGATTACACGCACACACCACCATGCCCAGTCTCAGTTGCCTGTCTCAGCACACCCCGGGGGGCAGGGCCAGCATGGCATGCTGGGGATCGAGCTGGATTCATTCTTTTTGAGTGTTCGCTTATTTCCGTGGTATTTATACACCATGACTTAGTACGTGTTCTACTGGTAGAGAAGTTAGGGAGAGCACTCATTACCATTCATCAGATTCTCTCAGAGGTCCATGATCCCCAAAGTGAAAGCAACAGGTAAGCATTACCCACACACATTTCGCGAATTTGTACTGAGAGGTTCGAGGAATTCTGGTTGTCGGTCAAGCTTTGCCACATGTGACACCAGCCAGGTACTGTGGGTGAGGGTTGTTATCCAGCAGTGAGATGCAAAGCCAGCATTGGCATGGGCTGTCCCTGTGGTAGCAGAGCCGACTGGTGTTGTCCTTTCCCTTGGTGTCTGCAGGGTGCGCAGCCTAGGCTGAGCCCCAGGAGCTGCTTGGCAGGGGCTCCCTGATGGCCTCGCTTCCTTCCCAGGTCTGCACAGGATGTCCGTGTTTGACCGCCTCGGCGCTGAGACCAAGGCCGACACGACCACAGGGAGCAGGGTGAGCTGGGAACAGTGGGATGACTCGGGTGTCCTGAACACTCATCTGTCCAGCGTGTTGTTCCTGATCCTTCCCCATCTTGCCCACAGGCACCCCAGCAGCCGCCTCACCTTTTAGGCCCTGGTTCCCTTCTTTCCTCTACTGGCTTCTGCCCTGACCCCGAGCACTCCCTGATTTCCAGCCCTAGCCCCTGTGTGTGCTTTTTCTCCCACCCATCCTGTCCTAAACTGGCCTCTGTGGCTTGCTCCAAAGTGTCTCCCCTGGGGCCTATTGCACAGTGTCCATCGTCCATGTCCTAGCGAGTCTTCCTGTCAGGTGACTCCATCTGTGTCTGCCTTTGCTGCCACGCTCCCTGCCTGGAGAGGGTGATCACCTCCTACCTGGTCTCATCAGGCTCGCCAGCCCTGGCCCCTCAACAGCTCTGTGTGCTGCTCCCTGCTGGCCACCCCCCCACCCCCACCCTGAGGCTTTTCTCTGCCCGCACAGCATAGTGGCTGCTCCTGACGTGTCCTGCAGTGTCTAGGCCCCAGGCATGGCATATGGTTGGGAGCACACCCAGCAACTCACTGCCTAGCTTTGTGGCTTTGGTCATGTCATCTAAACCCTCTCTGCCTCAGTTTCCTCATTTGTATAGTACCAGCTCATAGAGGGGTGTGGGTAGTCTAGCATGTAGTAAGCGTTCTTTAGATGCCTGCTTTGAAGAACTGTACAAAGCCCCCTCCCTACTGTGTTTCCTCCCATGTAGTCCCTTGCACACCAGGACACACTCTGGCTGCCTTACATGCGGAATCTTACAGGATCAACTGTCACACTGGGGATTGTGTGATGACTGGCTTGATGACCACGATTTCTGCTCTTGCTTTTGGGACCTGGCATGTAGTTCTCTCTGTGCTTTTGTCCTGCAGAACCTGGCTTTAAAGTGGGGGCCTCAGAGAAAAGTCCTGTCAGCTGTCCCTGTCTGCTGCTTGCTAGCGCCCTGCTCTTCCCAGAACATAGAACCTCCTTACAGAGTGACTGGTATCATTTCTGGGGCCAGGTAGACTGTGAGCCTTGGAAGGGGTAGGGCTCGGATTGTCCTGGCCAGTGTCTTGTCCCCAGCACTGCCAAGCCTAGGGCAGGTACAGAGTTGGGTCAGGAAGGGCCTCCCCCCACTGCTCACCTGTTGACTTTGCCCGCACTGTGCCACATGGCACATCTCTTCAGCCCTCTGTTAGACCCTCTTACACTTGGCCTTTGCCTCTCTGCCTCAGAGAGCTCTCCCTAACTTCTAGCATGGCCAGGTATGTCCCCTGGCACCCCCAGACCTCATCTGAGCCAGGGTGTTGAGTGACTAAATGACTCCCTGTCCTATCTCTGACCCTCACAGCCCACAGGAGTTTTTAGCCGTCTGGGGGCCACCCCAGAGGTGGATGAAGATCTGGCATGGGACAGCGACAATGACAGCAGCAGCTCTGTCTTGCAGTATGCTGGTGTCCTGAAGAAGCTAGCACGGGATCCAGCTAAGGCCAGTCCCCAACCGGCTCTGACTGTCAAAGCTAAGGCCACAAGCTCAGCAACACCAGCAGCCACCCCAACTCTGCGACGCCTTGCCCTTTCCTCCCGCCCTGGGCTCGAGAGGAAGCCGGAGTCCCTGTCCAAAGTCAGCATCATCCAGAGACTGGGCAAGGCCGCCCTTGTGTCTGAGGCCCAGGACAGCCAGGTCACCAGCACCAAGAGTAAGTCTTCGGCTGAGGTCAAGGTCACCATTAAGAGGACTCTGGTGGGGCCCCGGGGGAGCAGCTCCAGCGAGGGCCTCGGTGCCCGGATGGACCATGCGGGCTCTGTGAGCGTGTTCAAAAGACTGGGCCGCAGGGCCTTTTAGCACACGCGAGGGCGGTGTGTAGCCCCTCGGGCTCCTGGCTCCAGCTCAGTCTGCCCGGGGGCTGCTCGCCTCCTGCCAGCTCTGGGTGGCACTGCTTGTCTCCGTCAGTGTGGCACTGGCCCGAGCCCTAGGCCGTGCACTGGTTGGTTTCCTGGGCTGGGTGGTCGCTGCGGCCTGGCTGTGCCTGCTCTGGGACTATCCCTTCCCTGCTTTCTGTTCTCTGCTCTCTTGCCAAGGCCTTGGCAGAACCATGTGCTCTGTCTCCCAGGTGCCTGGTGCCCTTCTCTCCCACAGCCCCCTTCTTCCCTCTCGGTGGCGGCATCTGTTGCCGGCTCTTGTGCTTCCCTGTTTTCCCTCTGCCCACAGAGGGTGTCTCCAGGGGGCTCCTGGCTCCCCATCCCCCAGCTGCCCTCACCCCTTCCCTCCCTGCTGCTGTAACGTCTGCTCTCTCTTCACCCCATTCACTTCTCTTCTGTTTTCTGTCCCTGTGGCAAGGCCCGACTGTCCGCTGTGTCCTGCCCGACCCTCCTGCACCTCCAGCCTCGCAGCGGCCCGCTCGTCGGCGGTGGCGTCGAGCCTGTAGAGACTGTTAGCCGCCTTCACTCCAGGGTGGAGGGGCCCCAGGCCCTGGGCTGCAGCCGGGGCGCCTCCATATCCCTGCCCTGGGCATCTTTTTCTCTGAAAGTCGGTGGTGGGGTGTGGCCATGGGGCAGTGGGCAGGGAGGTCAATTCAGAGAAAGAAGACAACAGTTGTTTTAATATATTTTTGTGACTTCCAGACTGTTTCCCTCCCCTCCTTCAGGGTAAGTGCAGGCCTATTTCTGCATCATGCACAGTGTGGGATGGGGCACAGGGAGGGATGTGGGCACAGGGAGGGCTGGGCCTGTCTCCAAGCTGGTCGAGCTCCTGCACATGCAGGCCGCACGTCCAGAGCCATAGCGATCGCTGTCACCATTCAGGGCAGCCCCTCCTCCCAGCAAGCAGCAGTGGTTCCCTCACTGTGCCCTACCCTGTGGGTTCCTTTGTGTTTGCCACTCTGCCTGTGGGTGGCTTTCCAACCAGTGGGCTTTGTGGGTAAGGGAGTGACTTCCTGTTGGTGTGGCTGGTTCTAGTCCAGGGCCCACCCACATGGCAAGCTCTGAGGAGGGAGCCGCTGGCCAATGATGTCCAAAGACCTGAGGGATAGGAGTGACAGTGCCAGCTTGGTGCAGCCTGGGGCAGGGTTAGCTGGGAGGCATGAGAAGTGCTCTGTGCAGTTGCGGTGAGCAAGGTTCAGCATGGGGGAGCAGAAGCAGACGCTGAAGGCATGGAGACGCAGGGCAGAGCGCGCGGACCTTAGCCCTGAGCTCTGGGTATGAAGCAGGTGCTGTGGTGGGGAGCAGAGAGGGCAGACATGGGGATGCCTCAGAGGGGCCCACGCAGCAGGCATGCTGCTGTGGGGAGGAGGGGAGTTGTCCACAAAGCTTCAGCCCTGAGAGTCTGGGGGATGGATGGGGGCAGGGGTGGGGGTTCGGAGGAACGCTAAGCTGGGGAAACTGAGACAAGATCCGGTCCATTGTTTACTTTTAATGTAGGAAATAGACGTAATGTGAAATACATCATTTGAACCATTTTCTTTTTCTTTCTTTCTTTTTTTTGTTTGTTTTGTTTGTTTGCGGTACTGGGGATTAAACTCAGGACCTTGTGCTTGCCAGGCAAGTGCATATTCTACTGAGTTTTTCCCGGCCCCATTTGAACCATTTTTGAGTAAGCCGTTAAGCATCATCAACCATGTTCAAATGACGCACCCATCAATCCCGTCTATCTCTAGAACTTTCATCCTTCCAATCTGCTAGCTTTTGGTTTTGGTTTTGTAGTATATCTTTTAGGGAGCCTACTGTGTGTGGGCTGTGCCCCAGGTGCCAGGCATGGGTGTGAGGGGCTAGACCTCTAGGTGGAGGACAACAGCAATATGCCACTGTCCCCACAAGGACCTAGCCTAGGTGTTCTTGGAGTTGGTTGGGCTCAGGCATCAAAGGATGACAAATGCTGGGCCTGTCAGATCCCAGGTGCTGCCCTTTCACACAGTACCACCAGGAGGCGCTCTCACCCATGCACGCTTGGCTGGCTGAACTTTAAACTTTTCCTAGGAATTTTTTCTAGTTTTACCTCTTGGATGATTTTAAGTCAGCAGGGCTAACTGGGTGGGTTCCAGTTACTCTACTTAAGAGCACATGGAGATTTGCTTTGTGTAGGATCTGTAGTAATACAAATCCTACACAGCACACTTAATGTGGAAAGCTTACCTATTATTGCTCTTTGCAGAGGCCCTAAGACAAATGGAAGTTGCTTAAGGTCTTTCCCAACTGGCATGTGGCAGGCCCAGGGGTGAGCTCAGGGTGTCAATGCCAGGATCCTTATCCTTTAAACCCCATGCTGTGTCACCTGCCTTGCAGATTGAACTGTGGTCCTTTGGGGAATACAGGTCCTAGGAAGGTGTTTTGGATTCTTTGGTGTTATCCAAGTGATGTCTGTCACCCATCACCCACTGGATTTGTCCCAGGAAGCGTTCTCAGCTCTTAAACTGCTGCAGGTCTTGGGAGTCAGGGCCCATCCTGCCACTTTCTGCAGACCAGCACCAAGGCCAGCCAGAGCCATGGTGTCCCAGTTTTTTGGCTTGGCAGTCCTCCCACCAACCAACTCTAGCTGGCCCCCACAGGGTGGATATTTTTTGCTGATTCAGTTAGATGTCTGTAAGTATAGAAAAATACAGTCAGATTGTTTAAAACAAGACAGGTACAAAGGCTTAACTAACAGTGAAGCTTTCCCGTGTCTCCTGGCTCACTAGATCCTGTCCCACAGGCCACTGAGGTTACTGGTTTCTGTGTACACCTCCCAGAGAGGTGTGTGTGCTGCGAACACCTGTGAAGTGGAGGCATGAGTAGTGCACACATACATGCGCACATGTGTTGACACTCATGTATTTATTTAAATGTTGTAAGTATTTGGTACAGGGCCTCACTGCACAACTCGCGGACTCAATGATCCTCCTGTTTTCAGCCTCCCAAGTGCTAGGAATACAGGCATGTGCCACCATGCCCAGACTCGGTGGCTGGCACTGGGGATCTAACCTGAGTCCTTGTGCTTGCCTAGGCAGGCTCGTAGACCACTGAGCTATCTCCGTGGCCCTCATTTTTTAATTTAAGGAGTCCCCCTTTTTTTTTTTTTAATAATTGTCGGGGGCCTGGCCCTAGCTCAGGCCTTTAAGTGGCTGCTTCCACAAAGCTGTCAGCCTCAGGTTGTTGGAGTTCGAACCTCGCAACTCTCCCGCTGGCCAAAAGTGCCCTGAAGGCATTCGAGGAACCAAAAAAAAAAAAAAAAAAATTGTCACACCATTTCTTTTTCTTTCTTTATTTATTTATTTATGTGTGTGTGTGTGTGTGTGTGTGTGTGTGGCCAGCTCAGCCCACCAGGGGGCGGGGCTGGCTGGCATGTGGTGCTGGGGGGATTGAACCACGGCCCCTGTGCTTACTCTAAATAGGTGCTTTAGACCACTGAGCCATCTCACCAGCCCCAAGGAGTCCCTTTTTTGAAGTAGTTCAGGTTGTCTCTGATCTCTTACTACTGAAAGTAGTGCTACAGTAAGTGACCGTTACAGGTAGGATTGATTCTGGGTCAAAGGACTTCCTGACAGACTGCCCTTCCTTCCCTCCCTTGGTTTTCTTGTTCTTGTTTTCGTTTCTTGAAACAGGGTCTGACTATGTAGTTCAGGTTGGCTTTGCCTCAGCCTCCTTAATGCTGGGATTACAGGTATATGCCACCATGCCTGGCCTCTTAATTTTTTTGAGACAGTATTGCCAAATTGCCCAGGCTAGACTTGAAAGTGGGTTTCTCCTGCCTTAGCCTCTTAAATGCTGGAATTAGAAGACTATAAATTAGAGGGCAGCTTGGGCATTTTAATGACACCTCATCCCAAAATAAAAAGGGCTGAGGATATAGCTCAGTAGTAGTGCTCTTAGGTGGCATGTACGAGGCCCTGATTTCAGTCTGTAGGACAGGGTGGAAGGTGGGAGGGCCTACCATCAAAACCACTTTATTTTTAAGCGAGGTGTGATTGTGCATGCTGTAATTTCAGTACTTGGGAGGATGAGACAGGAAGATTGCCACAGGTTCAAGCCAATGTGGGCTACATGAAGAGTCAAGACTCCATCAAAAAGAAGAAAGAAAGAAAGGAAGAAGAAGAAGAAGAGAAGGAGGAGGAGGAGGAGGAAGAAGAAGAAGATGACAGTGATGACAATGATGAAGACAAGAAATCATACTGGGTGTGGTGGCACATGCCTGGGATTACATGCCTACTTATTACTATATTCCCAGCCCTGAGGTGAGTCAGAAGGATTGCCACAAGTTCCAGGCCAACCTGAGCTATGTAGGGAGTTCAAGGCCCTGAAATATGCAGTAAGACCTTATCTCAAACCCTAAAAAATTCAGTACATCTTTACAGTTGGTACATGATGTAACACATTTAATTTTTATTTCTCCCCAGCCTCTTTTGTTTTGTTTTGAGACAGGATCTTGC